ACTGTGTGGCACCCACACAGAGAGAGAGAAAACAGTAAGAAGAGAAATGTTGGAAAACCTGCACCCTGTGCTAATATAGAAGGGGGTCTGAAGAGGGCTGACCAAGTGGATGGGAAATATTGGATATGGGTCTCCCGAGAATGGTGAAGGCTAAATTTAGGGAACACCAGGGGCAAAGGAGTGGTGGTCTCCTGAAACAACAGATTCCCTGCAACCCTACATAGTCCTGGAGGGTAGTCAAGAAAAAGTCTGGGTTGATGAGGTCGGGTTGATAAGGTCAGGCTGAGGAGGCCATGGCCACAGGGGTTGGTCGTCCACTCATGCCTAGCCAGGGTCCTAGGGGGGGGAGGCTCTGAAGACATCGAGTGGACCCAACTGAGTCGGGACCCAAGGAACTCAGGAGTCCACCCTCCTCCTGGCTTCAGGCAGGATGAATGAAAGATAGAAGAGAGGAATGGGTTCAGACTGGTCCAATATTCTCCCTGATAGAGAGGGATTACCAGCCGTGGGCAAACTACGGCCCGCGGGCCAGATCCGGCCTGTTTGAAATGAATAAAACTAAAAAAAAAAAAGACCGTACCCTTTTATGTAATGATGTTTACTTTGAATTTATATTAGTTCACACAAACACTCCCTCCATGCTTTTGTTCCGGCCCTCCAGTCCAGTTTAAGAACCCATTGTGGCCCTCGGGTCAAAAAGTTTGCCCACCCCTGGATTAGACCCATTGCCCCCGAGAAACCTGTCCCCTGAGTCTGAAATCCAGCAGCTGCACTAATCACTTTGAACTGGCCCACAGGGTCCTGCAATTATACCTCCAATATAAAAGTGAAAGAACTAAGTGAAGGTGTCAGTTTCCAATATCCCAGACGAGCCCCCCAAAATGATACCAAAATTTCATTTGAGTCCAGGTTTGTGGTCTCATGAAATCAAAGAATGAGTTTCATAGACCAAGAGATAAGCAAAGTTTAGGAAGGGGACTTGAACGGGTTGCCGCAGGAGCTCATTAGTCTAGGGGTTTAAATTTTCCTGCTCTTGCATTCTACTGGCTCTTAAAAAAAAAAAAAAAAGCACCGGCCAATCTCCTTTTGCTCTAATGTCCCTGCTTTTAGTTCCCTGGTCTTGGGTTCAGAGGGAAGGGAAGCTCTACAGCTGTATGATACATTCCACCTATCTTGCTCACATCCTGATCATCTGGTTTATTTCTTCCTTATCTACCATCTTCCCTCCCTGTGGCCCTTACCATAAACTGCCTGATCTCGTCCAACTCCTCATTATGTTTAGTTAGTAGAAATACAGTGTGTTAAGAGGAGAGACCATGTAGGAGGGTCAAAAAATTGCTGTGATGATGATGTTTATTGTTCAAAAGGCCAACTTTTGGAGGTGCTGTCTCCACATCCCCAGGGCACATTAAAAACACTTCTAATCTGAAACAAGTACTGGAAAACAGTACTGCCAAGATCTAGAGGATTTGGGATACATTAGTTACTGCTGTATTTAGTTTTCCTCCCCCCCCCCCCCCCCAGCCCCAGGTGGGATTCCAGAGACAGCACGGGGTTGGAAAAGGGATTAGATTAGTTTTGCTATTATTGAAGCATGAAATGGTTTATAAAAAGAAGTCTCAGAGCACAAAGAACTTAGGTCTGGGTTTAGAGATAAGGAGCATTGGCTTCAAAGTTCCAGCCCCCACATGATGGTGCTGCCTTGCCAAAGGAAACATCCCCCAAAAAGAAGCATTGCCTCCCTGCCAGTAGGAATCTCATCCCTGAAATTTTTGTGAAAAGGGGTCACAGACGTTGAGTAGAGACCAGGTCTATTCATTCCCTTAGAAGTGAGTGTTCACCTTTATGAAGTGTTATGATGTTTTGCTTACTTTTTCTTTGTTTATGCAGTGGGGTTTTTCCCCCCTTTATATGTTTTTCTTAACAAATCATATAGTCTTTCTTGTTAGCTTTTCCCAAATGAGCCTTAAAATTGATGTCTCGAGAATGCATTAAATTCATAATTTAAAAAATCTCAGGAGTATAAGTTGGTATTATAAGCTTGTTATTTGGTATTTTTATAGCAAAATAAATACGTTTAAAACAACAACAACAACACAAAAACCACTGAGGTTCTAATAGCCCACTTGCTGGCTTGCAGGATAAACACAACCAGGTTCAGTATTTCTAAATTGTTGATTCTTTCTCACTTGTATCTTCCCCCTTTGCATTGAGCCTTTCTTTTTCACTGCAATTGTTATTCCCTTATTAGATGTGTATTAAGAGAGTAAAAGAGGGTAGATTTTGTATTGTCTGGCGATTCAGAATTAAATGTTCTTGAAGCATTCCTGGCAGCAATAATCTCTGAGTTGTGAAGAGGAAGAAAAGTAGAGAGACTATTTTCCAGGTTACAGAGGCTCAGAGGTAGAAGGGAAGGTTGCAATCAAGGGATTGCAAGGGATTTTTACTAAAATACAGATTGAATTTCAGTCACATTTGATTGCATGTTGATTTACGTTTGCTGATTCATATTGCTTTAGTCCATTTTTGCCACACACTGAGAAAGCCAATTCTCTTAGTCACCTAATGCTTTTTATGAGGATAAATCTAATAAATATAAAACATTTAAAGGCAGCTCACATGTGGTAAAGGCAGCAGACGAAATATGCAGCAGTGGTTTGTTCAGAGTCCAACTTGGGAAGAAATAATTGGAAATTGTTCAGCCTCTGAGATATGTCCCTTTCTCAGCCACTGCCACCAGGTCAGTCTAGGCTCTCAGGACTCCATGCCTGTTGGTGGAAAGAAGAGAAGCGGGGAGAAGGGAGAAGAGGAAAAGGAGATGAGAGAAGAGAAAAGATGTCATAAGCCTGGGGTTTGCTCTTGACAGGTGCATAGATTTTTATCTTAGTCCCTTCTGTTGACCCAGACCATGTTGGGGGAGGAAAGTACAGGTGTGTTGATGTCAATTCCATGTGAAAATATTATCTGTAACTTTTGAGACCTCTAAGGAAAAACTTATTAGCTCTTTTTTGAAGATCTAAAACTTCTTATTTGGTTTGGAAAGTTAGGGTTAGGGTCCATGACAGGATGCAATGGAGTGGAACTAAAATTTGCTTTGCACAATAGAGTGAAGTATAGTGAAGACTCAATATGCTTCTATTCAAGTCATTTAATCTGCCATCCCACTCAGTGGGTTTGTGAGGCAGATAAAGAATACTGACATGCCTGAAACTGTCAATTCAAGCTGGTAAAACTCAGGGAATCATTGTGTGATGCATTTGACCATGAACTGGAATACATTATTCAGGTGGCTAGGATTCTGGGTGGTGATGACCCTGTTAGTATCCTTAATGAAGAAACTGAAAAATTTATTTTGGGTCATAGAGCAACTTTCATTAAAGAAGACTTATGCCTTAGTCTACTTTATTTTATGGGCAATTTAAGTGATTTTCAAGAGTGTTGACTTTAGAACTTAATACCCACTTAACATGGGATTTTAAGAAAAGCTTTCGGTTTTCCCTTGGCAGTTGGAGAGACAGTACTTTGGGGACTTGAGGAGTTGGCTCCACTTACTCAGGGTAGAGCCAAAGGAGAAAGATGCTTAATAAAGGTTCCTGCTGTGGAGGATGGGCAATGAACTTTAGGAGCAAGGATGTCTGATATGTAGTTTTAAGTTCTTTCCTGTTTTGTGCTGTAAATACTCACCATTGATTGTTAATCCTTAGTAAACATTGGTTGTACCACCAGCCTTGAGTTATTAGTACTTTGCAGAATGGAGAGAGGGGGCTGCTTTCATTAAATAAGGTAATGCATCTAAAATACTTAGAATAAGCAGTTGCCCAAAGTAGACGCATGACATAAATATTAGCTCGTATTGGTCTGCTTTAGGAATACATAAAACTCTGCAGCATGGAGGAATCAAGAGCAGTTAGTTGGAGTTAATCAAGGAGATGCTGGGACACTGAGGACATTTACATTCTCATCTTCACTTCTTATCATTCTCAACTTCCCTCCCCCAAATCCTGAGGAACATTAGGGAGCAAGCTTCGCTCCCAACAGTTACTTGAATACATCGTTCCACTTGGCTATTAAAGGGAAAGGGGACCATAGAAGGCTAAAACCTTGTGGCAACGTGGGACCTAGGCAAGTAGGCTTCAAAACTTGTTCAAGTGGAGTTTGGGCAGATAGAAATGTGCAGAGAGCACCTGGGAAAGGCTCCTGAGCTGACAGTCATCTGAATCCAGTGGTGCCGGCAGAGCCATGCCCTGGAAACATACCTTGCCAGAGGCAGGTGTGTTGTCAGCCTGACCTTCAGCTCAGGTGCCAGGGAGTGGGTTTCATTATCTAAATCCAGACAAGCACCAGGAACAAATACAATCATCTGGGCCCACCCAGAAGTGACGATTACAAAATAGCCACAAGAATGTACATAATCTCCTTTGTCTTGGGCTTTAGTAAAACTTTCTGGTATTTTGCAGTATAAAATAAATGCACTGTATCGGCTCTGGGTCACTGTCTCTCCATCAGAGGACAGCTGTCCCACCCAGCCCCAGCTTTTTCCTTCTATCTCTGTGTCTGTCTCTTTCTTTCATTTTCTCAATCCCCAGCTGCCCCTATTCAGGAACTGGATCGCTCTCTAGCAGTGCTGGACGTGGAAAAGAGAGAAATATTTATAGGAATGGAAAAATAGGGAGAAAGAGTAGAATACTCTTCAGAATCCCCAACTTATAAAATTTTATGCTCTTATTTGGCTATGAACCCTTTTGTGTACCTAATATCAGTTGATGTCATACTAACCAGGCCATAACATTGTGTGCTCTGTTCAAGAGAGAAAAATGGGATGCAATAAATACATCTTGAACTGAGTAAATTACATATGTGATAAACCTAACTAGGATAATTAAACAGACCACTTGTTAACTTGTCAACTTATGGTCACTAATCATGTTAATTGGGTGATGGGCCTTTTTTAATAAACATTTTTCTTTATGTCTAATCTCATTAAATCTTGTACAGTGACAGATTTTGCTTAGAAATGTTTATTAATAGCTCATTTTCATAGTTCAAAAAGGTATTACAGATGATAATCAGCAGAACAATTAAAAACAAAATCTCACCTCTACAGAGTTAGCCAGTGTGTAGACTTTATTACATAGGCACATATTTTTTTTTAAGTAAAGCAATTTTACATAAAATTAATCACAATAGTACAAAAAAGTTTCACCAAATGAAGATAGATGATGAATGAAGGAAAATACAAGCCTTGGATCAGCTGAATCATTCATTGGATTTTGGGTCCATCCATCTTGACACATTGAAATTCACTATGGACATTATAAAAATGCAGGGTGAGGAGGGGTGCACTTTTATCATTCTCTGGCTAAAACACTGTCTAATTTCCTGAACATAGTGAAAATTTCTCCAGGCTCTGTTGGCAGTTGGACACAAAAGTTAAATGAATATTGGCTTAGGGTCAGAGGAGTTCATAGTCATCTCTTCTGTCACCCCCATACTTTAAAACCCTTAAAAACTTTGGTCCAACAGGTTGCTGTTGGGATCTGCACATCTGCTTCCCTAGAACCAAGTGGGGTCGCTGATCTTGAAGCACATGGTACTTAAGGCTTCAGTCACAGTGAGGCTAGATGGCATCCAAAACTAGCATTGAGAGTTTGATCAGAGGCAGAGGATGCGGGAATTTCTTGCTCTGTCCAGTTCGAAGGGAGCCATTCCATTTGACCAAATCTAAGTACAAGAAATTAAAATCATACTAACACATACCACAGAAGAGATGCTATTTTGTAGTTTGTACATGTTTGAAAAAATTCAAAAGCTACATTTTTATGCTCCTAGGAGACAGTGTGGATAGGGAAGACTGACCCTTTCATCTCATTTTGCCATAACTGTATGACATAGTCCTAGATGTTTACTGAGTGGTTTTTCCTCCCTCAATTTCTTCAGTCTTTTGTATAAAAGGGTATACCTATATAAATTGCTGATCATCCTAACGTGCCTTAGTACTTTGGAGGGTTAGACCTACTTCTACTGTAAGTAGTACCCAAATACAACATCCATTTTGGAGAGCTCTCTGCTCTTCCTCACACTCATACATTGTGCTGGGTGATCCCAGTGGACCTTCCCAAGCAGTGTTCCTGTTGATCTTCATCATCCTTTGATCCTCCATATTTATCTATTTCTTTGAAGGCAACTACAAAATAGAGGATTGCAGGGTTTCCTGTGTTTCTATCGTCTGGGCAGATGGTAAAGGATAGAGACATGAAAAGGAAAAAGATGGGCCAGCTGACTTTTCCAATCTTTAAAGTTTAAATGTCTTGGCTCTTAAGACTATGTGAAGAGGCCTGTTGACATGAAGTATCACTGACAATGGCACCAAAGGGTATTTTGTGAAATAATCCATAAAACTGGAAAGGACCTGAGGGAATAATGAGTCCAGCTTCCTCACTTCCTTAACTGAGGTTACTGAAGCCCAATTGGGAAAATTGCAAGTCACTGAACATGCAATTCATGCAATCCATAACAGTGTCCTTTAAAGATTCATAGAAACCCCAATTTTAATCCCACCAATGAGTTTACACCAGCAATCCTCAGTGTCCTTGTGTTTGGCTGTAGCTCCCTTTAGGGAAGCTGGCTGCTAGCACAGCACCAGATAATATATAAATACTTGTTGACTTGAACTGATTTTATTGTGTATCCCTGCTATGCAATCTGTTATTTTTCTTAGGGCTCCTTACTTTTCAGGGATAGCCTCAAGTCCAGGAATTTGAGGTTTGATGGCCAGTGCTATATTTGTCATCTCTATTCTCATTCATATTCAATATGAATATCTCTTCATATTGAAAATCTATTTTTTGGAGTCTGTTCTTAAATAGCTTTTCATGACATACAATTGTTATCTGCCTCTCTCCAGGCACTACTGAACATATCACTATGAATAGTGTCTTTACAAGGCCTGGAATTGCAAGGTCAGAGATTTTTTTTCAATTCTCAAAATAAAAACCAGGAACTAGACTCTCAATCAGATTTGCTAAGGCACACCAGAAGAAATGTAACAATTCCGTTTTCTTGCTTTAGCTAATACATGGGAAAACATTATTGATACACACACTTATTTTTCTATGTTTATGACTGCCTCGTATGTCTCATTCACTTTTAATTCCTTAAATACATAAATATGAGTCATAATATCCAAAGCAAGTTTCATTTTTAAAGAGCATAATGAAGAAATGGTGATTTGTAGGGAAATGGCACTTAGACCTTGGTGATGTTTTGAAAACATCTTTAGAACTCAGGAGAGCCTGACTGGTGTGGCTCAGTGTTTGAGCATCCACTGATGAACCAGGAGGTCACGGTTCAATTCCTGGTTAGGGCACATGCCTGGATTGCAGGCTCAATCCCCAGTGTGGGGTGTGAAGGAGGCAGCCGATCAATGATTCTCTCATCATTGATGTTTTTTTCTCTCTCTCCTTCTCCCTTCCTCTCTCTGAAATCAATAAAAAGTAAAACGATGTTTTTGTTTCAAAAAAGGAATTTGCCCAACTGTGTTTTCTGTGTAGGTGACTAGCAAAACACTAGGTCTGGAAATATATAGTATTATATTCCCCAAGCCCCTAAAGGCTACCTTTAATCAGTTTCCCCAAAATAGTAGAGGAAAAACAAATTTTATGAAATCAAGTGGTAGGTTTTTAAATATTAATAATAACTTGCTTGCTGAATCTAAAGACAGCATGGAAGGGACTTTCCCAGCCCTTGGTTAAAAAAAAAAAAGTCCAGGTGAAAGCATGAAGCAATCAGAATTGAGCAAGTGGGGATACAAGGTCCAACAAGCAATACACATGTGATGCTAATAGGTGAGGCAGAGCTCTTGAGAGGGCGTGTGGATGTTAACCTTGGGTAAGGAAGGTGCCCGAATGACCTTCACCTTGCTAAGTCTTCAATTCACCTTGATGTTTCTATTAGGAATCTCATGTGCCTTTAGTACAAGAGGGGAAGGGAAATACTGTGGAACCCTCACTTGACACCACTCACTGGGGGAACCCGCTATATTTCAAAGAGCATGAAAAACCACTCCTAGAGTCAGAGAGCCCTATTACTACTATATGTAGAAGGGATCTTAGTCATCAGCTCAAATCCAATGTAAGAGGACCTTTTGAAGCATCTGGGATAGATCATTATTTTAACTTTTGCCTGAGCATTTGCAGCAACAGGAAATTTTGCTATTGAGTCCATTCCTCTTTAAAGCAACTCTTATTAGAAAACTTTCTTATATTTGAAGCAAACATCTGTCATGTATCAAGTTTCCCTTTGTTCCTATTTTTGCCCTTTGAAGCTACACAGAATAAGTCTAAGTACTCTCCTATTTTATAACTCAACAGAAATTTCAATGCACCTATTATATCATTTCCTCCTTTTCTGCACTTCCTTTCCCGCTATACCTTCTGTTCTTCAGGGATCTATTCCCCTGTTCCTTGTATAATCAGACCCTTCACAACCCTGGCCACCTGTTTCTGGACACAATCAATGTATTAATGTCTCTCTCAAAATATAGTACCCAGAATTAAACTCAACCCTCCATCCAGATGTGGTCTTACCAGTGCAGTTTGCAGGGCTCCCTGGACTTCTATTACCACGGGTTGAATGAAATAGCTTTATGAATAGCCACAATATACTCCTGATTCAAAACTGAACTCCTATTTCCATAAGAAAACATTTCTACATGAACTGCTGTGAAACCATGACTTTCCAACACCCTTCCCATCAACACACACACACACACAATATACAGACACATCCACAAATACACAACACATATACCATGCTGTTCTTAGAGGGTTGCATTTAAGAAAACTCAAAATATATTTTTTCATTAATGCTTCAATTTCATCTTTTTAATTTCAGTCTTATGCTCAGGTATTTCAAAAAATTATAATGATTCCGATATCCTAGTGTCAGTACATAGTTAGAGTTCAATGACTATTCATTGAATAAGTTAATCCTGAATCTCCTGGTCAACAGACTAGATATATGTCTATTTCTGTGTCATCTACAAATCTGATCAATGTGCTCTCTGTCCCCCTCCTCCATTCTTCATGGATATACAGAAAGACAGAGACAGGCTGCCTTTGAATTGTTGAGCAGGTATCCCCTTCAGGATGGCTGATGTAGCTTCTTGTGTGGTAAGAAAACACCAATGTACAAATAAGAAGCAGAGGTGCAGAATGTGAGCCGGAACGGATGAAGGCAAAGAAGACTGAGCGTCCCAGACTCTTAAAATCTATGTTTAAAAAGTATGACTTTCCCACCACCTCTACCCTAGAGTCTTCTGCCTTTTAGATCTATTACAATACTGTGCTTGTCAAACTCTGAATTTCTGGGAAAAGCTCATACAAGCTTAGTTTTAAAACAGCTTTGAAATGATCTCTTCAGCATACGTTTCCTGAAAAGTCCGAGTTACAGAGACATGTGCTCTCTATTGGCTATGAGGTATAAAAAGAGCTCCCAAATGCCTGAGGTATAACATATATATCCACTTGTTTCAGAAATCAGAAATGGCCTATATTTTTCAATGTGAATTTGGGAATTCACTGAGATTGAAGCTGTCTCCTGAATTGAATATAACCTTACAATGAATGTCCCTTTTCCCCAGAATGAAGAAAAATAAGCTCAATTTTGCTTTCCTTTCAACAGCCACCCTTTGCAGAATGTGGGGCTAATCACAGAATAAAAGAGTATCTTCCTGTGCCTTTTTCCCATCCTGTGACCAAAACCTTAGAGAGATGGAAAAAGTGTTTCATTCAAAACAGTCTAGAATCTCGAAAACGTCTGTTGCATAGTGTTCATATGCAAAGAATGGAGACACCTGCGAAAGGACTAGGAAACCTAAAGAGGAAATTTGTTTTGTACTTTTCTGAACCTTTTCTAGAGGGAGTGACAAGAGATGGGTTCTTAATTAACCGCTCAAGACCGTGTTTTCCAGAAATTCATGTAAATGACAGAAGAACACCAGAAGGAAATCATGCCAACACTGATGCGGAGGTTCTTTTCCTGACTCTCCTAGTCACAACAAACCACACCCAAGTGCTGTGAGATAAGCAGAGGCAGGGGCGGCTCAATGAGGAAGCTCCAAGCCAGGTGAACCGGCTGCTTCAGGCAGTTAGAGCCTCTCCGCAGCAGCCGCCTCGGGTCTCCTGTTCACATATAGGCAACTACAGACAGGAAGGTCCGATACACTGCTCCCAGCATGGGGTAGTCATGTAGGTACTGACTTGAACTTCAGCTATTCGGGAAGATGTCCTATTGGGACTCTCAGGTCACAGCCTCCCAGTGAGGCTTCGTCACTGGACCCCACACTCCTTGGGGTTTTCCACTTCCTCTCCTTCAAAGTCCGGCTTCAAACTCTTTTTTTGCTCAATCTCCACCTGTCAGGAATAAAAGTTGGAGAGAAATATCAGAAGAGAAAACATCCCAAGAAATAAATAAACCAAGAGAGAATACCTCACTGGGTTTAGATTCCTTGAGAGTCCTCGTGATTTTGTCATGTTTTGGGGTTCCCTGGTGCCATTTGCCCTGTGTCTATGATGATTCTCTCTTTGCACAGACTCTTCACTTGGTGTGGGATTCCCTCTCCCTCACTGTCCACCTGGAAGATTCTTATTCTTTGTCTTGCACAGCTGCTCAAAGGTCATCTCTTCTGTGATTCTTTAGGTAGAGTGAGGCACCCCCCGGCGCGTATTCCCACTGTACCTTCTACACCGCACCATGGGCTCCATAGGACAAGGGCTGGCCCTAGTCACTACTGCATCCCAGTAATGTAGGCATATAGCAGGCAAGCACAGAGGTTGATAAATGAATGGCTTCCTTTGCAATTGGCTGTTTACACTCTCTGTTACGGTATCTCTTTAAAAAAGTTTCCAAGCTGATAAGTATTGCAGTGTTTTCAGTTCTACCCATATTGTCTGCAAAACACTGTAGCTGTAATTGTCAAGGAATCAGAAATTAATCTTGCCCTGAAAGTGACACACTTCAACTGGAGCCTTGGGTAAGCCAGGCAGGGGATCCTTCAAGCTAGGAAGCTTCATAATTAAAGCTGCTTTCCTCAACACCAAAGTGGACATTTATGACGAGGGGAAAAAGTCAAGACAGGACAGTTGACTAGGACAGCGATTTACTGCAAGAATTTATAAAACATGCAGTACCTGACTATTTAGTCGGGCACTGATCTCCTTTCCCTTACCAGTGGTTCTCAACCTTCTGGCCCTTGAAAACAGTTCCTCATGTTTTTACCCCTAACCATAAAATTATTTTGGTTGCTACTTCATAACTGTAATTTTGCTACTGTTATGAATCATAATGTAAATATCTGATATGCAGGATGGTCTTAGGCGACCCCTGTGAAAGGGTCATTCGACCGCCAAAGGGGTCACGACCCACAGGTTGAGAACCGCTGCCTTTGACTGTCAAATAAAACAATGACAACAGCCAACACAAAAATAGCTGTCTGGTGTGAATGAATCAAAATTATATATATATTTTTCTCAGATCTGTAAAATAATATATTTTTTGGTGTGCCACAGAATTTTAGTAATTAGTTTGTGTGCCATGAGATGACAAAGGTTGAAAATCGCATGTCTGAGGAAAGTGCTGTTTTTTTTTTTCTGGCCACAAGATGGAGTATGTGTTCTTTTTGGTAGACCACACAACTAAGGAGGCAATTAAAAACCAATAAATCACCATATTATTCTAAGGATATTATTATGAATAGAAAATTATTAAGCCACTTTGCGAAATCCTTCTTCAAAAGCCCCCATTGCCCATCCCTGGCATTAATATCCTCCCACTGCATCACTAACTCCCCTGGATATAGTCACCATTCGTGTCAGCACACCCCAGCTTGGTGTCTGTCCTCCTTCCACAGCCTGATCCTGTTACTACTCTAGAAGCTGGTTGGGCTTTTGAGTCCTGTCCTGTGACAGCCCAGTGACCAGGTCATGAATGTCCTAACTTTACTCAGACCCACATCATCAACTCCTGTAGCTGCAATGTATGCCTTGGGCTAGCACTTTCCCGACACTCCTCTTGACTTCCAAATTCACTACTCTGCAACATAAATTACATTATGAATGGATAATAAAATCCCTTTATCCCAGTCCTCTTTTTTATGTTGTTGTTTATGATGACATTATAGTCTCCTCTTTTAGTAGCTTCCTTATTTTTTTCCCAACCTTCCTCTTGCCCACTAGAGAGATTGTTCCTTTACATCAGAGCAGACTCGCCCATGGCTATGTACCATGGCGAGCCGCCTCCAAGGAGGTAAGAGAACACTGCACCCAGCGCAGGCACTGCTAAAAGGAATGAGGGGGCGGGGAGGGGAGACGGGGGAACATCAGCCAGATGCCTCCCAGGTTACCTGGTAGCTGTAGTGTGCGGAATAATTGACCCACTTCCTGATGTCAGTCTTGTCTTCCACAGAGATGGATCTTACAGCAGCTTTGGAGGCCGAAGTGGTGGGCATGCTGAACTCGACAGTCACGTGATTGGCAAATCTGGAAGGCACTTCCCGGTCCGAGCCAAGTTCAAGGTGGCAGAAGAAACAGTGTGGGTGACCAGAAGCTATGAAACAAAGATAAAGAATCTACAGATCAGGTTCTTTGGGGAGGAAGTGGAAGAAGAGCCACCTCAGTAACAACGGAGGGCTGGAGGCCTGGCCAGCATGGCTCAGCTGGTTGGAGCATGGTCCTGTACACTGGAAGGTCGCATTCCTGGTTAGGGCACATACCCAGGTTGCAGGTTTGATCCCCAGTCCGGGTGTGTAAGGGATCGATGTTTCTCTCTCACATCAATGATTGTTTCTCTCATCCCCTTCCTTTCTCTCTAAAATCAATTAAAAAACAACAACAACATATCTCAGGTGAGGATTTAAACACACACACAAAACAACAAAGGAGGCCTGGAAGTCTTTCGTAGGGGCCAGCTGTGAGCAGAGGCTTTGCCTCTGCAGAAATTGTTCCGACCCTCTGATACAACACTATCTGATGACAGTAGCCTGGTATCCTAGCAATGGAACCATGGCTGAGAAGCAGAGGTCATGCTGCCTGCTCACATCAGGGTGACATGTGAGCACAGCACAAACACTAGGAAATGGGGGCTGTAGATTGGCAGAGAGGAATACAAGGGCTCGGCACTTAGCACCTAATAAAACACCAGTGACAGCCACCTGGAGCAAAATCGATTTCCTTTGAAAGATAAATTGAATTTTCTTAATAGCATTTCATATTTTTAAAAAATGTTTTTGGCCTGCTTTTGTGGGTGAATGACATATGAAAATGACAGCGCCTTTATAAGCACATTTATATTAGGGAAGCGCAGCAAACACCAGAAAGCACACAGACTAAGAGTCAGCAAGCATCCCTGGATTTGACGGCCAGCTTTCCTGCTAAGCAGCAGAGATCCTGCACCAGAGTCCTTTATTCTCTCCAGGCCTCAGTTCTTCATCTGTAAAGTAGAGTAGCTGGGTAGGTGGGCGTGGGGCGGTGGGGAGTGGGGGTGGGGGAGTGGTGGTAGAAAAGGGTGGACTGGACAATGCTAGGCATAGACCCTTCCTGTTCTTTGATTCTATACATCTCTGGCTCATTCTACTGTACTTGGATAGTAAACTCAAGGTTGGATTTTCATGGAGAATTATTACTAGGTATTTGAGGGGAAAGGGTTAGAGCTTATTTCTGTGACTGTCACTCATGAAGCTCTGTGGTCGTCATCATTCATCAGATGCAGCAGGACATTTGTTGAATGTTTTGTGGTGAATGTTTTCCACTCTGCAGATTCTCTCACAGTCTGTTCGTAACAGAATCTGGAGGTCATAATATATTCTACTGCAAAGAAGCAGAGCTGAGACCTGACTGAGCCCAGCCGTCTGACCCCAAATTGTTCTAACCACGCTGTCTGAGTCATAACCTCTTGTTTCCAAATCTCAAGACCAGGTCTTTGGGGTGACAAGGTCTACGGGGTGACAATGTCTGCAGGGGAAGTCAGCTATAAAAACCCACACATAGCAACTCGCAACAGAGAAACGATGTTACACGGCTTTGATTTCATTACCTAACAGAAACAGCCCTTAGTTATCTGAGTTTTCCCAAATAAACAATTCCAAGTTCCTTTATTGGTCTGGGAGGGACTTTTTAATCTCAGTAAGCGAGGCCCTCCACACACCCTCTCTCCAAGGAAAACATTACAGAGTGAAGTATTTGTTTTGCTCTGTTTCACAAATGTGAAATGTTTCACTGGTTCTTTCTAAAGAGTAAAACTTCAGGAAATTAATTGAAAAATTTGCACTGGTTTTAGGAAAGGAATTTAAGATACATGTAATAGTAAAAATTATAGTATTTAAAAAGACATTCTTTTTTTAAAAAAAATTGTGTGCCACAGATGTAATTATATAGCTATCATATATTGAGCATTTATTATAGGCCAGAGACTGTGCTAACCACTTAAAAGCATTTTCTAATTTCATTCTTAATGGGTTAGGTATTAATAACCCTATTTTATAGATGAGGAAAATGAGATTTCTCTGAGAGGGTTAAGTAAATTGCCTGAGGTCAAAGAGTCATTAAGTTGTAGTACTGGGAATAAAACAGATCTGACTCTAAATTATGCTTCAACTTCTCTCAATGTACTGCTATAGATTTAAATCACTTCAAAGTATATAGAGGAGTTTCTAATTTCATTCAATAACAACCCGAAGAACAGTTTTACATAATGACCCTTATTTACACATTTTGAGTATCGAGAAATCATTACTGTCCACAAAACTGACCCTCTTCTGTCACCCCACCAAAGTGTATTCACAGCTAACTCTCTAAGAGCAACATTCTTTCTTGATTCCCAGCATCAACTAATGGATGTGTAGGGCTGGTGGACAGATAGGGAAGTACAATTTTGAAAGCTAGTGTGGTTTAATTTATGGTTATGAGCTAATGAGCCCATGCATCATGTCATCTTCCTGGATGGATCTGAGAACATTTAACATTACAATTCAGATTTCTATTTGCCATAAATGGGGACTCATATTGGGTTTGTTTTCTCTTCACTTGGTCTTATGAGAACTGAATTCCAGCAAAGAAAGCTACCTGGGCAGGACAGAATGTTTTGTTTCCTGGTGGAGAATCCGGGAAAGCAGCAGGACTGGTGCTTTGTTCCGGTGCCTTCTAGGATTAAGAAAAACTTGGGAATAGAGTGGGAGGGGTCCTGTAGAATGCAGAGAGATGGGGGCTGGACACGCACATGGCTGGGCTGGCACCCAGTGGCAGCTTGTGAAGTGTTTTGAGGGCTGGGATTGGGACACACCTGCTGTGGCTGAGGCGTGGGCTGCCAGCAAAGCCAGAGGTGCTGCCCTGCTGGCCCATGCTGCCTGTGCTCTGCCTGCCCTGCCCGCTGGGGCTGGGGATGCAGGGCCACTTCAGGTGGGAATGGGTGTGCAGAGATTTAGGCTTCCTTCCCTGTAAATGGAGGGTGAGGATTATGAAAAATAATCTATAAAAGGCACCTTCCCAAGGATGTCTGAAGACCAGGACAGAAGAACTCCAAAAAAGGGACAACTACTAATAGATCATCAATCCTCTTGTTTCTTGGCATGGGATGGGGAGGACAGGGGCTGGGCGCAGCGAGTACCAGCAACGGTGAGAACCTGCAGTCTCACTGGCGTTCAGATCCTGTACACCCCCAGTTTCCAGGAAAGGGTGCTATCCATTTCCTAAACTGATCCAGAAGTGGCCAGCAGTTTTACAAGAGTCCCTTTTTGGGGGTTTCACTTCTAAATCTATATAACCATGACAGCAAAAGCAGTAACTGGGATGGGGGGAGGAGGAAATTTCAGTGAGAAACATTCCCAAATATCCCTATGTTTTCCTGATTTCAAAAATCTTTTACAAATAAGGTTACAGTCATCTGGAAATACATATGTACTATGTAAGCTGTATTTACTTGGCCTTGAGCCTACTGAACACTGCCCACTGGGAAGCATTAGGAAAGTGTTTGCTGAAGACCTATTTTCCCCTGTCCTGGATCCATTCTCTTTTCTTCTGGTGACAATCCCCCACGCACCACCCCCCCCTTTTTGGGAAATAATCTTCCCCAGCACTGTGTCATCTTGGTGGGCTTCTCGGTCAAAATGCACTGTCCTCCTTGACTCGAGCCAAGTGGCACAAGGACAGAAACTGGCTTGCGATCAGTCCCAGTGGCTGCAGCCTGAGGAGACACCATAGTTCCTCCTATCAAGAGCTGTCCTTCCTTCAATTCTGAGCTGCCCAGATCCTTCCAACAGCTTCCTTTTCCTTAAAGCAGCCAGCCAGTCTTTGCGGCTTATAACCCCAAATCCCTCAGGTAATGCTTTCAAATAATTGAGAGAAAGAAGCTTGAAACAAATGGTAGATGTGTGTACACATTGGGAAAACTGCAAATCCCAGCCCCCACAGTGGAAATTATTTCAAGTTTGGGTCTATTTGGTGTCGTTTACGAAGAAGCAGCTGTGGTGTTGGGAAAAGAGCCCAGATGTGGCTTTGTGACTTCAGGCGAGTCATGTCACCTCCAGGCGCTTAATCTTCTCCTATGCAGAATGATGAGTTTGAGTAAGTTGTCCCCAACATCCCTTCCACCTTGAAAAACCCCATAGTCCCAAAATAAAGTTATCTGAGTCCATGCCTAATAGTACACTCAAGAGCTAAAAATCCCAATAAACGTACACAGGAAGCCTTGTTTTTCCCCATGTCAAGTGTCTAGCAGGTTAAACAGTAATTTTCTCCCTGTCTCCTCAGTTCTTTTCCCAAGGCCTCTGTGGCAGAGAATTCAGGCTTTCTCCTTTCCTCCACTAATTCAGAGGGGCCTGTGGCTGAGGTAGAAACCACAGTGCTCTCGCCAGAATACAGGGATCTTTCAGGGAGGATGAATTAACAAGCACAAAGAGGAAGACTTTATCTTAAAAGTTCTGTCAGTTTAGAAATAGAGGGTGGCAAATCCAGCCCCAGACACAGAGGTCCAATTGTCTCCCTGGTCTGCCCTCTACGCCCAGTGTCTCACACAGCCTGCACGGCTTGGGACGCCTGGAGAGTTGACCAGATCCCATTGCTTCTTGCCACCCCATCGTATTATATTTAGAGTATGATAACAGCCTCTCCACACAGAACAGGAAATGAAGACACAGAACACTGTTAGGATTTCATGGTGAGAATGGAAAGAATATATCTTCACAAGAGAAAGACATTCCAATCAAGAGTTCCCCCAAATCTTACTCTCTTTGCTCGACTAGGATACCCACTTTTGTGATCAGATGAGCCAAGTTTATTATAAACAAGAAGAGAAGTGGTTTAAAAGAGCACAGGATCATGGGCGCACTGCCTGCCACTGGGGTCACCCAGACTTACTCTCATAAGTAAGGCTATAGAGCTGGCTTGATTGCTCCCTAGTTTTGTGGTTTCGCTGAATCTCACTGGAACCATGAGGAAAGTCATTGCCTCCCGGGCTCACACAAGCACAAAACCATCCCTGACAGCTGTGAGCAGGCCCGCTAGGGCTGGTTGGCTTTATCTCTTTGTTTAAATCACACATTCCTTCCTTTACTTTTTGTCTGGTAGAATTTCAGCCTTTTTGGACCATCATATTCTGGCTGGATCTTCCGTCTGATCAGAGGCCATTTCTCCTCTTCCCCTTTCCCAGATCCCAACTCTGAGTTCAAGATGTTATGATTGACAGGCCTTTCACAGGATGGCTGGGATAAAAATATACTCCTCACCTGTACTGCACATATGATCAGCCGTAATGAACCGGCCCTTTTATCTATACCAAGGCATAGTTTAAAAGGCATCTCTTCAGAACCCAGAAGCCTTCTAGGATCTGGCAATGGATAGCTTCCAGCAGCATAGATAATGTTTTAATGAGTCAGAAAGGAATATAAATTCATAGCTGCCCTGGAAAGCCACTTAGCAGCTCAGTGGAGAATAATGCAGAGCTTTATGGAAGACGTGTGACCATTCAGGAGGTGAAATGATGGAGCGAAGTGTTTGTTACTTACTTTGCTCAAATATTTTCGCTTTTCTTGTCTCACTCCCCATCCATCCCCATCCCCATCACACACCAAAACTCAGCACTTCACAGGGAAATAGGATGTGGAATGCTGATCCTGCTGCCTTGGCAACCGGGCAGTGGTTTTCACAGACGAGAACCCTCCACTTACCTGAATTCTTGTCAGGCAGCCGGTTTATCCTCCACACGATGGAGTTGAAGGCATGTTCGTACTTAGCAGTCCCCAGAGTCACTCTCATGACAGGCTCGGAGCCAGACACACTCGTGGAGCCAAAGCTGGCCCCCCGGTTGACCTTGGCTTTCAGAGACTTTTCCCCCAGGACGCTTTCCCTGCGGAAGTTTTTCACCCACTCACTGGGCACAGGGTACCGAACCATCACATTCTCACAGGGAACCTGAGTGAGGGGGTCACAGTTAGAGGAGAAGCCGGTGGACATCCTCAGCCAGCTCTGCACCTCCACCTCTGCCCCGTTGATGCTCGCGGCCGTCCGGAGCGTGAAAGGCAAGGTCTTCTCGGCAAACACTGTCCTGAACCGCATCAGCTCGAAGCGGCAGGCATCCAAAGGGTTGAACAGGATAACCCGGGAGCTGTTGAACACATCCTCGTCCACACACCCATGAAAACGGCACTCGTGGAGCTTGATCCACTTGGTGGTGGTGGTCGGCATGATGTCTTGCCGGGAAACGACTTCGTTCCCCTTGACCAGGACGTCGTTGAGGCCCAAGCGGCATTCTGCTAGCCCCGAGAGGAAACTCAGGATGTGGATCCGTGTCAAGACGTGGTGCTGGAGAATCTGGTTGTCCCCTTTGCTCACGAGGGCAGAGAATTCATCTCTGACATCCACGGTAATCTCCTCTTCCAGGTAGTTCAAGCCGACTGTGCTCAAGTCCATGGACAACACGGGCAGGTCCATGAGACGGTCCTGAACCGCACGGATGAAGCTCAGGAAGTCATCGTAATTGGTGGTGCCCAGTTTAATCACTTGTTCCCTCTCGGCTGTGTGGGCGACAGCAGGTTTGGGCTGGTATTTCTTCTTTTCCTTGTACGTGACACGGTCTATCCGCAGGCTGTGGATCCTGCCATTTTCATCATAGTTTTGGAGCCGGGGTTCTGAAATCTCATGGCAGATCTCCAGCTTGAACTCTCGGAATGGCTTCTCTAGGCCCTGCTCATAATACAGCTGCAGGTAACCAGTATCTGTTAGTCTGATGTAGATGGGTCCCCAGTGTCTGGAGGACATGATGTTTTTCTTCTCAGGGATCCTTAGCATCATTGGCCACCCATCCCTGGGCTGGGAAGGTGCTGCACCAGGCGGGTGGTCGAGTTCGAGCCAGGCTACTGGGTCATCATCAGGCAGTGTCGCACTGCCTAAGTGATCAGGGTCGTCAATTTGGAGTTGTTTGAGTTTTTCAACAGCATCAGAGTGTGACTGGTTTTTGCTTGAGTCATCAAAACTGATGGCATCCTGGTAGATGACAATGAGAGAATCCCTCTGGCTTTTGCCTGTGGTACTAGATGTGGAATTGGTTTGGGAGCGCCGCTCCTGCTCCTCAAAGAAAGCACTGAAAGGGTTGATTGGGGAGGGTTGTACATCCTGGAGAGTCTCATTCAGGAAAGGGTTGGTGGCCCTCCAAGGTGGAGCCTCGGCTATGGGAGGTGGATGGTTTAAGGAGGAAACGTCCAGCTTCTGAACTTTGGAGAAGTTTATCAATGTGCTCTTGGGACGTTCCCTCTTCTTAAATGAGCCGGTTGAGTAATAAGATACATCTGGGGTCACAGATGCAATAGATGGTGTGTTTGACTTCAGAGGAGAGGCGATGGGTGGCAAAGGGCAGCTGACTTCATTGTCATCAAAAGTGACCCAGCTGGGGAAACGAGCAGAAGTCACCGGAGTGGCAGCATGCCCATTCATGACAGGACTGCTGGCCTGCCAGCTGATGGCCTCCATGTCTACCTCTTCATCTTCCTGGAGTGAGGACGAGTTGTCTAAAAGAAAAGGAAAACACATGAGGGCTGCTATCCAGGGCACCTAGAAGTATGGGAAATTGAGGTATGAGAATGAGGGATGACTAGAATTTTATCTGGAATTCAATAAATTCCAAAGCAGTTCATTACCTGTCTCAAGTGCTTAGTCTGGGCACACATCTCATAATTTTGTAATATGCACACAAGGGGGGCCTTATGTCCAATACAGTAAGAATACAAATGAGTCTATTGATACAGATGCACTGGTAGGACCAAGTTCCCTTGCAATTGAACTCTTATACATTCTCACTTTTATGTGTTTCTAGGATAGATGTTTTCTTTGCTCTGAAGTTTGTATTCTTTTTTTAAAATAAATTTTTATTGATTTCAGAGAGGAAGGGAGAAGAGAGAGAGAGAAACATCAATGATGAGAGAGAATCATTGATTGGCTGTGTCCTGCATGCCTCCTACTAGGGATTGAGCCCACAACCCAGGCACGTGCCCTTGGCTGGAATCGAACCTGCGACCCTTCAGTCTGCAGACTGACGCTCAATCCATTGAGCCAAACCAGCTAGGGCAAAAGTTTGTATTCTTAATTTTTAAACACTGAAAACCATCTCCCACATAAAATAGTATAAAGCTGATTTCATTGAATAAAACAAGTTATCTGCTCTAAGTGATAATATGATTGCAAATAATATAATTGGAGGGATTTCTGCCCAAATGTGATCAATAAACATTGAAGACAGAATGTTAATATCCTTTATATGAAAAAAGTTCACACAAGCAAATAAGAAAAGTACAAAAAGTTCAATAGAAAAATAGACAAAGGACATACACAGACAACTTGGGAAAGAGAAACTAAAAATGTCTAATAAGCAAGTAAAAATGTCCAATGTCAATAGTAATAATAAAAATGCAAATTCAAATAACCAGTGAAGATTTAAAATTTTTAGTATTCAGTGAGGGGGATATGATATGAGCAGTAAACAGACCTTTAGTGAGACTGTAAGATGCTACAAACTCTGTGGAAGTGGATTAGCACTTTGACGGGCCTTACAAATGTTCATAAACAATGCCTTAAGGAGACAAACCCAAACTGTGAACCACATTTTGGATGAATGTTAAGAACTGAGGCACACAATGGAATAATACCATTAAAATGTTCACAAGTATGTAGTCACATGAGAAAATGCTTATGATATAATCTCTTCTTTTTTCTTTGCAAATAAAGCTCCACCCTAGCAGGGCATTCAAGGGAAATATAGGACTTGAGTTTTCATGCAGGAAAGATCCAAACCTTCAAAATAGCTTTTACCCCTGTGTCTGCTGTGGGAAGGGAGGAGGAAATGAGGCCTTTAGCAAGGAGGAGCGGATTTGGATGAAGGAATAACACAGGAAACAAATCTGTGTGTTTGGCATATAGTAGATACTCAGTTAAAGTTTGATAATTGAATGAATGAGAACAGAAACTCTGCTTTGGAGAAGTTCTATTCTCTCTGTCCTCTAGAGCAGGGATAGGGAATGTCCAGCCCACTGGCCATATAAGGCCCATGAAATCATTTGGTCTGGTCCTGCCAAGGCTTTAGGGGTAAGTTAATTAAATGTGTGACCAAACAGAACAGGCAAATTTTTAAGTTGATAATTTTGTATGGCTCGAGAATCCTATATAATAAAATAATAATAATATGCAAATTGACCGAATGGCAGAACAACTGGTCGCTATGATAAGCACAGACCACCAGGGGGCAGCCGCTCAACACAGGAGCTGCTCCCTGGTGGTCAGTGTGCTTCCACAGTGGGAGCACCGCTCAGCCAGAAGTCAGCTCATGGCTGGCCAGCGCAGCAGCGGTGGCGGGAGTCTCTCCAGCATCCACGGCAGTGTTAAAGATGTCCAACTGATGGCTTAGGCCTGATCCTCCGGGGAGCAGGCCTAAGCCATCAGTCGGACATCCCCGGAGGGCTCCCGGGCTGCCAGAGGGATGTCTGACTGCAAGCTTAGGCCCGATCCCCTGGGAAGTGGGCCAAAGCCAGCAGGTGGACATCCCCCGAGGGCTGCCAGAGGGATGTCTGACTGCCAGCTTAGGCCTGACCCCCTCCCCCCCCAGAGAGTGGACCTAAGCTGGCAGGTGGACATCCCCTGAGGGCTCCTGGGCTGCCAGAAGGATGTCTGACTGCCAGTTTAGGCCCGATCCCCTGAGGAGCGGGCCTAAGCTGGTAGGTGGACATCTCTTGAGGGGTCCTAGACTGCGAGAGGGCACAGGCCTGGCTGAGGGACCCCCCCCCCCCCCCCGAGTGCATGAATTTTCATGCACTGGGCCTCTAGTATGTTATAAATATCCAAATGGCCCTTGGCAAAAGAAAGGTTACCCACCCCTGCTCTAGAGGAACGTGTACAGGGATCTCTGCCACTATTCCACCCAGTGTTTCTACTGCCAGGAACTGGGAATCAGAGAGAAATGGATACTCAAATTCTCCAGTTAAATAGTTGAGTTTCCTAAATGCCTCGCTCAACCTTCATGAATATTATATCCAACCATAACAAATCAGAAATGCCACCCATAATTGCAAATGTAATTACACATGGATGGGAAGGCTGGCTTGCCATCCATCTTTCCAAGGATATTTATTCAAACAAACAGCAATTCCCTCTACTGAAAATGTCAGTTTGAAAATGTAGGCTACATACATGAGCATGCATAGGTATATATCCACATTCACCCTAGAAATATACAGATCAAAAAATATTTTCTATATGTACAGCATCACAAAAGGGTTTTAAAATTAAAGACACTATCCATCAAATTAATCATTAACCCACTTTTATAGATGCCTATGTGACTTATTTTCTGGAAAATAAAGGGAAAGGGGTCAGGAAACAACCCAGGTTTTAGAATTTATATTTTATGTGTCACTACTACTAAGGGAACATTGTGGCCCTGAGTAAAATATAATCACTTCCTTGAAACTATAACTGATCTTCCCTACAGAGCTGGGAAGGGAGTGAACCTCGAAACCCATCAATTTCTAATGAATCGGCTCTATGGAGTCTCTGTAATGCTGAGTTCCCACCCACCCTGTCTGGCACTGACCCACCCTTGTATCAGGGACATCCTTTCCGCCTTGGAGCTCATCACCACTCCCTGATTTAAAACAAGCTAAAGTCCTTTTCCTTTGGAGGCCTGCTTTCTGCCTAAATTGCCAAAGGATTCCCATCTGTTGGGACTCTTGTCCCCAAAATAGTATTTCTCATCTTCCTTTCCCAAGCCAAAAAAGAAGGGGAGGAAAAGGCCTTTGTTTCCAGTGAAGGTAATTTTCTTACAATAAATTTCTTTCTTTCATTTTTTAAAATATGTTTTTATTTATTTTAGAGAAAGCGGGGGTGGGGTGGGGGGAGAAAGAAACATCGACATGAAAGAGAAACATCGATGGGTTGCCTCCCATAGATGCCCCGATTAGGTATCGAACCCACAGCCTGGTCTGGCTGATACTGGAAACAATGGTAGAGGAAGCGAGCAAATTTCTCCAGTAAGAAATCAGCAAAAACTAATTATTTTAAGAACTAAATTAACTATCACCCACAATTCTATTTTATTGACTCATTAAAATAAAACCAAAACCAAAAATCCAGCATTATTTTAATTACTGGTAATATCTCTTCCACTTGCTACTTTCAAATTGCTGTTATGATGAACTGGGCTGCTGCCAAACAAAAGCCACAGATGAAGGTTAGGTTCTTTTTTTAACCACAGGGGGAGTTTGCAGGACCTACGAGCTTTCTGATTAGCATCTTAACTGATGCAAACTAAAGAGAAATGGTGGATTCTTTTCATGTTAGACCACAGTCTATTTTCAGTTCCCAGAAGATTAAATGAAATGATTACAATGGTAATCAAAGCCACCAAACTGAAGAAAATGTAAAAACTATGGGGAGAAAAAATAACCGTTTCTATGAGATTTTAAATCCAGCAGACACTCTGCCATCTTTTCCCCCTAATTAGGTAGCATAATATGTTGTTAATGCAATGGGAAATGCAAAAATCTTATTGGGAGCTGTTCACTGGAATTCATTAGCAGTGGCAAGAAGAAATATTCTTAGATTATCACAGTTTTCTCAACATGAGATAGCAGTCACTGTTATACAAGCGCATATAGTTAAAACTGTATGACCAGCCTCAGACGCACAGTGAGCACTTAAAATGTGTCATATGTAAAGTGAAGAGAGGAACACAAATCACAGAATTGGGGGGCTTGAAGAGATTTTAGAAATAGAACTTGATCTGTTCATTTTGCTGAGAAGACTGGGCCTCCGTGAGTTTAAGGAAACTGCCCAAGGTGAGATTAAAAAGCAAGTCCTACGTTTAATTATTAACTATTTTCTTAATGCTTGATCGTTAAGCTAAAATCTGGTTAATTTTTTCCCATTACCTTTTAGATCAGCAAGAGTTATCTTGACACAACTGTTTAGGAGCGTTCTTCAGTGAAGAAAAGAACTCAGTTAAACAAGGATTAACATCCACTTATACAGAGAAGCTTTTGGGCATAGGGTCAGGAATGTCACCCCCTGATATATGAATGTGTGTGGGTGAGAGAAAGGAGTTAGTCATCTAACCTTATCAAGGCAGCGTCTAACCTGAGTAAAACAAACTGGAACTTAGTTATCATCACAAACACACTGGTTAAAAAAAAAAAAAAGAAAAAAAGAACCAGAGGGTCAGAGTCTATTCATCTGTCCTAGCATTGTCATGGAGAGAGGATGCTTTGATGCTGGCAAAGTTACATGGTCAGAGATACCCCCAAGTGAAGAAGCCAATTCACCGAACTACCACGTACCACTACTTGACAGAATCCCTATCAAGAACATTTGACACTACATTCTGGTTTGTATTTGCTAGGAGGACCTCCGAAACAGTACTCAGCACCTTCTCCAAATGACTGGTCCAGTTTGCTAATCACTTCCCGCTAATCAGGATGGGCTGGGGATGAACCAATATTTTCTTCCTCTCTCTCTCTCTCTCTCT